CCTATAAAACCAGATAATGGACCAGCTTTCCAAGTAATGTTTACTAATGATAATTACTTTATAATTATACACTATTGGATCACAGGTATACTGTGATATGGAGACTGATGGTGGTGGATGGACTGTATTTCAGAGGAGACAAGATGGATCTGTTGATTTCTATAGATACTGGACTGACTATGAGAATGGATTTGGTGACCTTACTGGTGAGTTTTGGTTAGGATTGAGCAAGATTCATCATCTTACTAAAGAAAGATCCAAATCCTTGCGAGTAGAAATTGGTGATTTTGAAGGCAATTCATATTATGCTCAATACTCTACATTCAGTATTGGTGATGCTAGTACTGAGTACAGGTTGAATTTAAGTGGCTATAATTCTACTGGAACCGCTGGAGATAGCTTGGCTGAGCATCACAGTGGAAGTAGTTTCAGTACTAACGATAATATCAATGACAATAAGAATTGTCCAATAAAATGGAATGGCGGCTGGTGGTTTAACCAAGTTCATATACATTGCTTTTCTTCTCATCTCAATGGTCCTTATAAACATAAACCAAGTGCATTTGCTGATTGGAAAGGAATTATTTGGAACAGTTGGAAAAGTGGCTTCACTCTTAAAAGTGCAGAAATGAAAATTAAATGAAATTACATTGCTACACTTTTAAATTATGAACATCAATATACTTTATTTTCTGCTTATTTTACTGACTATGAGTAGTTTTGTAAAAATTAAACATAAATAATCTGTGTGTGACAGGATTGTGAAGAATCAGCTATTAGTTAGTGTATTTAGATTATTTTGTTACTTTTATAATAAAGTTATTCCTAATAATGTTAAACCTCATCAGTGATTAATATCATAATACCCACTAATAACCAACAGTGTCATGTTAAACATGTAACCATACCCTCACATAAATACACCTACTACAGGAAATAAGATAAGATTAAATGATACTAAATAAGTCGATGTGTTGGGAATAATGCAAAATAAACAAAAACAGGATAAATATTTCACACAGGTATGTTTTCTAAAGTTGACTATACTTCACATTCTTAGCCTATCACCTTCCATACTGGTATCTATGCTACCATACACTGCATTAATACATTAGGAGCAGGTGCCATCATGTTTGTCACAACAAAAATGTAAGGATTGCAATTACCAATGTTGCTTTATACAAAAATAAATAACAAACACATTTTTCAAGAACATGTCATTAAATATTCATAGATTGAGCCAGACACTCTAATCTTCATTTGAACGTTTACATTTTGTTAAAATAACAAACAGTCCATCTCAACAAGCATCAATCAACTAACATCTCACACATACACTAGCTGATGGGCACTTAAGTAGTTTAAAATTTAAAGATCGAGAGAGATGTGTTGATGTTCAGTAAAAGTTACTAAAAGTCAACAAAATGTTGTTCAATCTTTATAGTCCACTAGTCACGGAGCTAGTGTCAATGAGTTTATTATAAAAGGAGAGAAATCACTACAGTAACATCAACTGATAACCTATCACATTATCTTAATAAGTATATAATAAAGATACTATACTGAGATGATGTTAGCTGGTAAACTGATGTACAGTTTAATGATAATAATTGTTATTATTAATACTGTCAATGGAAACTGTCCTGATGATGAGCCCCCTCCTCCTCCTTCTCCTATTCCTGAAGTTCCCTATGTGATTTCTGGGAAATTTTACTCACCATCAAACACTTCAGTAAATGATGCACCAGGTATATTAATTAGATCTATAGT